CGATGCTTTGCAGTGTATATTTATTTATCAAGCACGCAAACATGCCGGGGAGAAATGCCTCGGGGCTGGACAGGTAACGTTATTTTTGGGATTAGTTATTAGCAGCGATGAGCAAAACCCGCCTGCACGTGCAGTGAAAAATTGCGTTCGGATTCTAAAGCGAAAATAAACCGCGGCTCGCGAGTCTTTACCTGCGCAAAGCAAGTGTCTTCCCGAAATGAACTGAGCTAAAGGAATCAGATTCGTGCGGCTGAACGCCGTAGAAACAAACGTCATTCATTATTATCTAATTTAGAGGATTAAGCAGCTTCAAGCGGATGACGCCGAATCTCGGAAAAGTGTCGCTCTCGCCCCGCCCCGCCGCGCCGCGCCGCGGCTTTAATATCTTCGGCACATTGTACCCGAGGATTAGGATCTTTTTCATTCCCGCGTGACGACTCAAATTTCTCAAAATTAAGGGTGCCAGAAGAAATCGAGTCGGGGGGAGCGAGAGAGCGAAAAGAACAAACGAGGGTACTCCGGCGAAATACAGATAGCCCGAGCTGCGCGGCAGCGCGAATAAATCGCGGCGATAAAAGCTGCAGTCCGATTAAAACTTGCAAACAGCGAGCGACGGGAGCGAGTGCGCGACAAATCCTATTATCAGGGTCATTTTACGCTCGCGATTCGGAGATTCAATAACGCGCGCCAGCACGCGCGTCTTGCCGCTCCGCTCGTCGAACGAGAATCGCGCGCTCTTTCATCCCCTCGGATTATTTTTGGCCCATCGACCTCCGCTTCGAAGTCACTCGAGTCTCACTTCGCGACGGGGCGTCACCCCGTTTGTTTACCTCGTGATAGGACCCTTCTCCTCCTCCTCCTGCGTGCCGACGCGACGGGAGCAGGATTTCTCAGACGGCATGAGTCGTCTTTGCGCTGATCGTCCCCGAGTGCAATAAAATTTTAACGCGCTCCGAACGAGTCGCACGACGCCGGAAAATGGCCGAATCGGTGATTTCCAACGAAGCGATTGCCAGGGAAGCGTGCGATTGCTCGAACACATTGCTCGCGCCGTTTATCGTCCCGCCACACGCGAACGATCGTGGACCGACTGGCGTTGCTCGCGCGCGCGCGAACAAAACCCGTTAATCTTCGGGCCGGAAATTGGCGGGTCGCATAATTTTCCGTCCGGGCCGCGTCACGCGGGCGCGGGCGCGGGCGCGACGGATTTTCATTATCCGCCACGCAGGCACGTCTTCGGGTTCACGGCGGACGTGCGATCGACTCTCGAGCGCGCGTGTTCCCGAGCGAAACGTTCGATTGCTGCCGCCCCGCTGCTGGTAAATATCGCCGGAACGATATGACGCTGTTTGTTCCTGTTTCTCCGCGCGCCTTTATCGGCGCGCCCGGCGTGCCGGGCCGGTCGTTTCGGTAATGCTTGATTTATGGCGGCGGGCACGAGCGTGCACACGGCATTCTCCGCGCCTGGGTGGTCACGTCCCGCCATTGTATCGTCGCGATCCTTTCCAGCGAGCTCGCTGGAAAGCCGCCGCATCGTCTCTTCGTCAATGATGCATTCGTCGCCGTCGACGTCGGCAGCGCGCGCCTTTCGTCGCGGCTTGCTTGTTGTGCATGCGGCTTTTCACGGATTTTCCTCGCATTCTTAAATTAATGAAGTCCCCCGGGTAAAAGACACGGTCGCGTCAATGATGTAGACGTCGTCGTCGTCGTCGAGAGCGCGCGCGCGCGCGCGGCAAAGTTCGCTTTTCGCCCCGGGCTTCTGTACTCGCTTTCCCCGCGGATTTTTGCCTGTATAATTTGGCAAATGGAAAAAGAGGGGCGGGCAAATAATAAACGGACCTTCTTAGACGTAATTATACGAAAATGAATTTCATTACGAAATGGCCCCCTTTGAATAGGACATTTATTCGCGGCGAGCTGCAATGTAATTAAATCCTCTTCCGGCAACGCCATATCGCCGTCTTTTCTCTCTTCCTTCTTTGGAGCCTACATTTTAATATCAACGAATTCCGTTTAAACGAAGACACATAGCTTGAGAGAAGGGCGTCTATCTTGCATATCATTTGTCGGGCGAACATTTATTATTCCCTCTTTTGTCCGAGCAATTCGCGTTCTCGCGAAATGTGTGACGTTTCTCCGACAGTTTCCCCGAAATATTTCATCCCGCAGAAATACGCGGCCTCTGCCCCGAAGAGGTTTTATTCCGGAACATACGGAACGCGATTGTGCGCGCCGCATCTCGTCACGGGCTCTCTTCTTTAAATTTACGATTCAATCGCTGGTACCTGAGAGAATACCGTCGCTCGATACAACAAGTCACCGACAAGCAACGACTGATGCAAAAATGACAATGCACTCGTTGCGCGCGACATTCTGTCTAGGAGCGCAATTTCCCAACAGTTTCGTTTAACTTTGGCGGACAATCTCGTCGGTCGGCCGGTGCCTCGCGAACGTCAGGAACATTCCATCGTCATCCTGCGTGCGGTTTTTCATTTCCGTGATCGGTGGGAGAGGCTGCTCTCGTTTCCGGACGATCATTAATTCTCGCCCCATGCTCGTTCCGCAGCGAGTATTCTCCGGGCGAACTTTGAGCAACCCCGAGCGACTGCGAGAAAGAAGATGAAACTTGTATCTGACCGATCGAGTGATGTCTTGCTCGTTTATCCGAAATGTCGCGATATATTTGTGAGATTTTAATCCTTCTTATATTTTCTTTCTCACGATACGGCTACAATTTGTACATGCGATTAACCCACTTGCACCTGCACGTTTTGTCACGAACTAATTCCCCGGAAATTTGCGTTGCAATTATTGTGACAACAAAAGTGACCAAAACCGCGAATCCGCGTTGTTTTTCTTTCGCGTCGATTATACTGCTCTGCTCTGCTCTTCTCTCACTGATAGTACGTCACATTTGCCCGGTCGTAGTCATTCGTTCGCGTTACGTTCGTTCCGGCTGGATCATCAATCGTCGTTTCGAGACGCGAGCGAGAAAAATTCAATTATCCATGTGACGAAGAGAAAGAGAGAGAGAGAGAGAGAGAGCGCGGAAGAAAAATTTCGAAAAATGAGAGAGATAACAAAATACAGTTCGAATACGCGCGTATGCTTTTCGAAGCGTCCGAGACCCGTTCGCACGTACTATTTTCTTGCAGACGTTTTCGCGGAGATATTACGCAGATACAAATCGATAGGACCGAGTGGAGCAAATAAATTAGCCGAGTGCAACGGAAGGAACAGAAGTAAGGCGATACAAAGCAAAGCGTGTGTAATTGTAAGTAGACCTCATTCCGACTTGAAAGCAAGTTTCAAGAGGAAATGGCACAGTCGCGGGTCAAAGTTTGCGCGCGGGATCATGTTTTCCTTCGACTCCCGGCGACGTCTCTTCGAGTTTCCGCGCTAAGAGTCGTAAAAGTCTCAATTCCTGAGGAGCTCTCGGCGGCGCCTCGCCCGCCGTAGGAGAACGGCAGAAAATGAGGGTCGAGAGGGGCGCGCCGCGATGGATGCCTCCGATATTTACAGGCTGCTGGTACATACGCGTCACACCGGATGTCATACCGGAGAATTCGCGGCAAATCTCGGGAAACGAGCGGCAGCTGCGACGAATACCCCGGGGAAGCTGCGCGCTTCCCGCCACGTACGCCCGCGCCGCATCCCTGAACTTTTTGCATCGTAAATCCGCGATGTCTTCGTCGTGTGCGCGCGAGCGGCTGGCAATATTGACGGAAAGTGAATTCGGAATCCGTCTCTCGTAAACCAAGGACGCCCCGTATTTTCGTCCCGGCGAGAAACCCGACGAACCAAGTCGGACGAGTCCGCGTAATCAGCGCAAACAGCCAGCTATGTAGAACCGTCGAATGTTACGAGTCAGTGCCCACAATTGGTCAATCCGTGTGCGATCCGTATCAGTCATCCGAATGCTTGCCGGTAAATAATCGGACGCTCACTCGCGCAGTGCGCGAGTTTGTAAAGCTCGGGAATGTTTTTTTTAACGGCAATACCGCGCAGCGCGCGATCTATCTGAATCAAATGAACGCCGTCGAAACAGCTGACGAATTTTTCGAAAAAACGATAGAGCGGCCCATATGTCACAAATCTTTCCACGTTCGTATATTTGTAAAGCGAATGATGAAGAAAAAATATATAAACTGGAGTGACTCGTACAAACCAAACGACGCTTTTTATATCATGACGAACACCAACAAACGGAATATTTCATACTTCATCAAAGGGCAGTTCACCTCTGCCCGATTCGCTCGAGTGAAAAATCAACTCGCGCTTTCAATCGTAGATTTATTTTCGCCTGGAGAAATCGCCGAGCGATTCTCCGAAACGTATTGTCCGATGTCTCGAAATTAGCCGATAAAATGAAGGAACGAGCACCCTCTCGTCGCAAGCGGGACGGTCTCGGCTTTGAAATGCAATTTACCCGAGGTCGCTACGACTACTTTGCGTGAAGATACGGGCGAGCGGCGAAACCGTTTGATGGGGACTCAGGCCGCCGACAATGTCGCCGCGCGTCGCTCCCTTTTAACGGAGCGAGCCGTCTCGAGGTGCGAAGTCCGAGCCACGAACGCACTACAATGTACTAGGCGTGTGCCGTTGGTTGGTGCGCAAAGCCGCCGCGCGCCCCGCCCCGCACCGCACACCTCTCGCCGACGAAGTCTTCGGGACCTTTAGGAGCCTCTGTCTCGGCGAAAAATCGACGTACGAACGTGAAACAAACGCCATTCTCCTCGACATCGACGCGCAGCACGTGCTCGTGCCCATCGCGCGTGCTCATCACGACACGTGTTCACGTGTGTAATCGCAACTCGTGCTAAGTTACAACGTATCGTCATTGTTGCAACATACGAGGTTTCATCAGAAAGTAACGAGAATTTTGAAATTGCGCGCGCTGTATCTTGTCTATTCAGTCGATTCTTTTTTTGTGTGTTGGTAGCACTACCAGTGACGTACGTGTCAATGTTCAGGCAGCCGCGACGCTTGGTTTGTGTTTGACGAGCGAATGAGCAGGACGCATACTTCAGTGTGTTTGGCGATTTTTCGTCTGGCGAAATCGGTCGGATCAGAGAGTCTGTCTGAAATTTTGTGTTAAAAACGGAATTAAGTGCAGCGAAGCGTTCAAAATGTTAAAGAGGGCCTTTGGCGACGATACCAAGTCGCAACCACGAGTTTATGAAGGGTACAAACGCTTTCAGGAAGGCCGAGAAGACATCGAAGATGACGCGAGGTCTGGGCGTCCTGGCACGTCCACCAGTGATGAAAAGCAGTGGACAAAGTTAAAGAGATTGTGCTTGCTAATAGAAGAATCACCATTAGAGAGGTTGCTGAAGAAATAGGAATTTCATACGGCTCACGCGAAGCGATTTTTACTAATGTTTTGAACATGAAACGAGTGGCAGCGAACCTGCTGAATTTTCAAGAAAAACAGCATCGCGTAACCATCGCGAAACCACCTTATTCTCCAGACACAGCCCCCTGTGACTTTTTCCTATTTCCCAAACTCAAAAGGACACTCGAGGGACAACGTTTTTCAACAATAGATGAGATATGGGCGAAATCGCAGATCCAGCTCAAGACGATGATACCTAAAGAGGCGTCCCACCAGCGTTTCTCAAACTGGAAATTACGTTGGCATAAGTGTGTAATATCACACACAGGGGGACTACTTTGAAGGAAATGGGATAAACATTGAAGATTAAATAAAAATACCTTCAGAGAAAATTAAAAATTCTCGTTATTACTTTTTGATCAAACCTCGTATTTAGGTATAAAGATGAAGTGCGCTGAAATTTGAGGTCATTTCGTGTGCGACGTTCCTCACTCGGTTTCCCGCGCAGAGATTCCCGCGTAATCCATCATTTTTTTTTCGCAAATGGCACGCGCGTGATCTCGACACCTGGGCTGTGCTGTCAAAGCCGACGTTGAGCGCCGCGCAAGTGAAATGCATTCTTGACTAATATATCGTTGCGAGTGTTCGGCTAAAAGTTCGTTGTTCGTGTCGGGCTGGAGCCGTCATCCAACTGCGATCCAGTGTTGAGCCAATTCGGGCCGTCAGTGGCAGGACGCTATCGAAAATCCGATATCCCGCAATGTCCTGAGTCCGACCGGAAATCCTGCGTGAGTAATCAGTTTCGCGCTTAATGTGCAATTTTCACTCGTACACTCGAAGATGAGTTCCGACGTTAGGCTCGTTATCTCGGGAAAAAGCAGTTTCGTTTTTGCTCCCGCAATCCACGGAATCCACGGAATCCACGGATATCGCGAAGGAAAATCGAGCGCGTTTCACCAAGATAGAAGAACAGAAAGCTCTTAATTATCCGAGAACGGCGGTTCATCAATTCTCTAACGTCGCACTTCTCGCTGGGCCGACAGTCCGATAACAAATGACGTCGATGGTTGAAAAAATGGGACAACCGGAGAGGACGAAGAACGGACGAGGAGGATCGGATCTTTCCCGCTCCTAAGATCCGCCCATCATTCATCCGCGCGAACGCACGAACGTCTCTGCCACACGGAGGAGCGTGTGCAAAAAGCGGTATATCATATAAGCATCCGATACACAATGCATCGTATTTATACTCTCGGCTGTACGTCTCTCGGGTTTTATCCAGGTGAGGGAAGAAATAAATCCGAGAAGGAGCGTTCGTGTAGCTCGCGCCAATTCGTCGTGTCTGCGCGTCGCTGGGAATAAACGCGCGTCTTATCGTATATATATATATATATATATTTTTTTTTTATCTCTAATCTATCACAGCACCCATTGCACCTGATCGCGGCCCAAGGAGCGTAGCGATTACGCGTACAATGATTTCAATTTCTAATTACAGCACGATATAACAGTTAATCATGCGAAGCAATTACGGAATTAGCTTGAATTTACAGATATGATTGCGAATACGGTTAACGCGTATCGGCGAGCGCCTCTGAATTCGACTGAAATCGAATGCGATGATCGTAGCCGTGAAAATCGCGACGGTAATTACTCCACCGGCTCCCCTCATAAGCCCCCCTCCCCCATTACATAATCGACCGACCGCTCTACGTCACGAATCTCCTTTCGTATTCACGATCGCTATTTACATTCACATGCAAATTTGATGAAGTAGATGTTTTTGCGGCAACTCAAATCACTCTCTCTCTCTCTCTCTCTCTCTCTCTCTCTGGGAGTTTATCGTCGCTTTAATCAATGTACCGCGATTGCCGCGATTTTACCAGCCCCCATTCAATCGCCATATTGACAAAGAGTAAGTCCCCTCTCCTCTCCTTTCCTCTAACTTGCGCTTATTTACACATTTATCGTCACATGCAAACTTTTCGGCAGTCGCGTGATCGAAGAAAATCGAATCCCGTGCAGTCGCTCGTTTATCTCTCATTCGCGCGTTCTTTGTCCCGCGTTATCGGTCGTGTTCCCCCTCATGCCAGACTGACGGATAAGAAACGATAAGGCGGGGAGGAGTCGGGGAGGTTCTTTATAGGACGTCACCTGGCGAGAGAACGATTTTGCCCGCAGCTATCGATAGGATATATAGAAGATAAGCGCAAAATCCCGGTAGCTCCGATAGATGTATGCGCGAGAGAGAGAGAGAGAGAGAGAGAGAGAGAGAATGAGCGAGCGAGCGAGCGAACCTTCGTCGCACCTTGCAATTTCGGCACAATTTTTTGCCACTTTTGCATTTCGTAATTTTTTAACACTTTCTCGCGCTTATAGCTTCTGTCTCTCTCTCTCTCTCTCTCTCTCTCTCTCTCTCTCTCTCTCTCTCGCGTGCGCGCATAACGTACGTATAATTCACATTATTAACGTCCTCACTGGCGTATTTTCGGTGTGATAATGAGATCTCTCGAGCTACCGCGCGCAATATTCTCATCCTTCTGATATCATGGAATATTTAATTCGAAGTGAAATGCAAGTTTGATTAAGCCCTCAGCTAAAGATATTAAACCCGACTTTCCTCAAAGAAGCCGATCCAGCCGCTTGATATCCTCCTCGAAAGTTTCGCGACCGCGAAATATCGGGAATGTTTAATTAAATATGTGGGAAGGGAGGATTGAAATTTTCCGTATGGATTCCGCGTTTAAATAGAAAATTCACGCTCGTCGTGCATCGCGTTCATCATCACGAGCCATTACGATTCTAACCGTGTATTTTCGTGTTTTTGCCTCGAATATCTAATTAAAACTTATTCTTCTCTCGCCCGCCTGATTCTCTCTCTCTCTCTCTCTCTCTCTCTCTCTCTCTCTCTCGACACACGAGAGGCAGGGGACTGCGAGTTCCTCGTTCTTTCCTTTTAATTTTTCAACAACTCACGGCCGTTCATTCCGGAATTGGCTTTCCGTCAAGGAGATATTCCAGAGCGAATAAGTGTCTCATTGTGTTCGCCGACGGAAGTAGAATTTTTGGAAGGATGAGTTTTAGACGAAATGAAGATTTCTTTTTTTTCGGGGAACTCGATCCCGCCGTGTATACACACAGCGGGAGAACGAGCTCTCAAGCCCGTGTAAAACAATTTCGAGGTCGATCGTCAGGATTTCATTAATGTCCGAAAAGGAAAGGCCTAGATCCGTGATTTACAAGCGGCAATATTGCGAAGCGTCGATCTCCATGGCGCGTCTAAATATAGGGGTCTAATGGAATTGAGATAAATTCAACGAGTTGGCAAACATCGTGGGACTCGAGTCGTCCACGTGGCTCACTGTTGGTCGTCGGTTTCATGGTCGTCGGCAGATAACGACATGAAAAGGACAACTCCACCCCGGCTCGTGTGTGCGAAAGGACCATGGGCGTCTTGCTTAAAGAGCGCACAGGCGACGGCTCGTCGTTAACGCGCAGAAATTTCCTTGGGCGAAATTAACTCTCTCACGAGTGAGGCTTTGTTTTATTCGCGAAGCGTCCCACTTTCACGGTGTATCATCTTCTAACGACGGGAAAGGCTTTCTCGAGAAAGGCGTCGACACAGTTGATTGTGCCCTCGACGGAAATATCCGAAATATTCAGAGACGATGGAAATAAAGCGGCTTCTATGGCGCGCTCGCCGTTAGAAGCCGCGATTTCGCGTTTGTATAATCTCCGCGTTTCCGTAATTTTGAATTACTTTCGCGACTTGGTTGTTTAATTTTTGCCCGAACGAAATATGGCTTCGGTTCGGCCAATGAATGGCGCTCCTGCATCCCGACCGAAATTTCACGGGGCATCCTGTTTACGACACTCGTCCCCTTTTGCTGTCCGCGTAATGTCGCGACTCGTTACGTCAAGGGAAACTTTTGCGGGGACCGCGGCTTTATGAATCCGCGCGGCAAGAAGTTTGTCAAACGGGAACAAGGTTGTCGTCCGCCGCGCCCCACATTACGGAGTTTCTCGTATTTCATCAATTTTACTTAGAACTCGGTTTTTGCGGACGGGCAGTAGAGCTTCCATCAATCCTTCGGTTTACGGGGGGGCTCCCGGAAGTGCTAGGCACTTATGAGTAAGAAAGGGGCTTCTGTTGGGGGTAACGGGAAGAAAGAAGAGAGAGAGAGAGAGAGAGTCAGAAAAGGAGAAAGAAAGAGGAAACGAGATAGAGAGATCTGCATGGAACGTTGGCGATAAAGATGTCGTTGGTTTCGCGTCGGATCGAGAAGTGAGATGCGCGACGACGACGTCGTCGAATCCCCTGTCGTTCCATTTTCTTGCGCAGAGATCAACGCACTTCGCGACAAGACTGCGGGATGTTGTTTACGAGTGGTTCCCGCTGCGCGCGGCCTGTTTGTCAGACTGTAAACCTACCCGCGTACGGGAAGGAGGGGAGAGGTGATTAATCGACCGGCTAGCTGTACAAAGGGTAAGATGGAATTGGCAACGGAAAGACCAGCCGCTCTTTTTCTCATCGCGCATGATTTCGACTTTCGAGTTTGTCCGACGTTTCGAGAGAAGTCGAGAGAAGAAATTGATTGAGGGGGAATGAACTCGCGGGGAATTCATTTCCCGCTCGCTCGGGAGTCGGTTATGCGAATCGCTCACGGACCTAAAAAACTAAACAATCGTGCGAGAGAAACTCACTTTCGTCGTTCTTGAGATAGAATTTTCTCTCTGAGATAAATAATTTCCGCGAGACGCTGGTAAATGGAAGAAAGAAAGTGATAAAGTAGCCAGCTGAAGATCTTTATTGTGACAAGAGCCACGTAAGTAATGAAACTTGAAGCCAATAGCGACGGATAAGGGCAGGAATTTAGAACATGTTCATTCGCTGATATCGAGAAGCCGTTAATAAGGAAGGCGGGAGAGGAGAGAGGTAACGGCGATCATACCTCAATCAGTCTCCGTGCGACCTTATTGGAACTCCGATCGACACGCGGGGGAAGACGACGCGAGTCCTAACTCGAGGAGAATCGCGAGAAATTGGAGGAGGACGGAGGAGATGAAGGAGAAGGTGGAGGAGGAGAATGAGAGTTTATCGATTTTGCAAGCTCGGAAGGTCTGGTCGTGCAGGAAGAGGCGCTCTCTCTCTCTCTCTCTCTCTCCCCCCCCCCTCCCTCCCTCCCTCCCTCCCTCCGTCGTTCTTTCTTCTTTCTCTCGCGAGAGAGGCTCCTCTTGTCGTTTCTCCTCGCGCAGCGAGCACACGGGAAGGAGGGTTAGCCGAGAATTTCCCGCGGTAAGAAACGACCGCGGGAAATTCTCGGCTCTTTTTGCCGGTTTCTATTTCCCAGGGAAGTCACGATTCCCCGAATAAAGCCGGTTTATATCGCGGGCGCCGCCGCGCAGCTGTCGCGCCCCCGCGCGCTTAACGGAACGAAAAGAGCACGGGCGGACCTTCCTCTCTCGCATGTATATCCCGTTCTTTTTACGGATGTACCTCAAGACGCTCGGGCATATTTCACGCTCCCGTCGTCGCGTTATAATTTAATCGTCGGCGCTGCTGCCGCGACACCGAGGCACCGTGTTTAATCGTCGGCACACAAAGTCTCTCGTCGCGCGCGTACACGTCCCTCGCTTCACTCAGATAAATCGCGCGCGACATGCGAATGCTTCCATCCCCTCCCCCCCTCCCCGCGCCCGAATACGAATGCTATCAATCTATCGGCAGCGATTTGTCTTCCTTCGCACGCGTGCGATAAGATATTACGCACAGGTCCACGCATATTAAACGCGGTGATATCAAACGGCGCGATTGCGCTTCCACGAGAGAGAGAGAGAGAGAGAGAGAGAGAGAGGGAGGGAGAGAGAGAGAGATAGAGCGATCTCCCGTGGAGTGATGTTTCTTTCTTCGCGCGGTTCTGTATGATGCAAAATTCACGACGGAAAGTCTCTCTCCTCGCTCTTCCCCCCAGCATCCTTTTCAATGTGCGAAGGAAGTCTTTTATGTGGGCGCGCTGAACATTCTGTAACCGGGACTTTTTCCCTATAAAAGCTGCAGAGCCGCGCGCGGAGGGTGACGTATGGATCCGTTTGCCAGCTCACCCCCGGACGTGGGGGACAAAAGTAAACGCTATTTGTTGGACTCATTGGAAAACACATCCCGTCATATTTTTCATCACCGGTGATCCGTTCGCGTCACCGCCTCGCCTCGCTGCCGAGAGAGAGAGAGAGAGAGAGAGAGAGAGAGAGAGAGAGAGAGAGAGAGAGAGAGAGAGAGCGTGCCCTTCGATCGCGCACTCTATCTTGCTGGTCTCGGCGAGCGTCGTTATCCCTGGACAAACTTCATTCGCCGGGAGCAAGACTTTTTACGAGCAATCTTGGGGGCTCACGGATCGATAATGGGATTGTCGTCGTGCGCTAAACTGAACGGCGTTATGATAAGATTATGGTAATTTCATATTGCGAGACGGAAATCGCCGCGTGCGGGTGCGAAATGAGAGTGAGGGAGAGAGAGGGGGGGAAACGAGGGAAAATATCATCCCACAGTACGTGACTTTTTGACCCACGGCAAAATTTCATCTGGTTCGACATTTAAAGTTTCCTTCATCATATTTCCATTTCGTATCAGCTTTCGACTATTATTTTGTAAATGTAACAGGAAAATATCGGAGTCTAATTTTACAGTGTCTTTGTTTCTGTTTCAGTTTTCAGCCGAGGGCGATCATGACAGGAACATACCGGAGATCGGTGAGTACAGGTATAGAATGACCACTGCTTTCTATCGCTTTCGCCACGCCTGTTCCTCGTCCTCTCGCATCCCGACGATCTGCGAGATCTCGCGGACTCATCACGACTCTCGCTGTTCGCTCCGAAATTATCCCGAGGATTTTATTCTGTTACGCACGCTCGCGAGTTGCTTTACGTCGCCTGCGTTATCAGGCAAGCTGTGACGGGCAAACTTTATTTGCGTTATCCGCGTTATAGGTGAGAGAGAGTTAATAGCGCATGAAAGAAAGAAGAATAATCGAAATTAGATCAGAGAATACATTTTCGCAGCTTTATGCTCGAGTGTACACTCGAAATCTCTAATTAACGATATGTAACTCGCTGATTTAGCAAACAAGCACTGCGACGTGGATTCGCCGGATTCAGCTAATTCTGTTGAAGCGAACGAGCTGCAGTGGGATTTCCTTGCACCGAGCACGCTTTAACGCTCTAACGTAATTTGAAAATATCGCGCTCTCGCCGGCTTATCATATTGCCAATAATCGCCGGCGTTGGAGAATTAAAGCGACGCGACGCTGCGTCGCGCATATTCTGCGATTACCGATTACTGTTAATCGGCGCGATTGATCTCCATAAATTTTCCGTTTGTCGCGCAGGCGCAGCGGGCGCGCGGCAAGTTTCAGGACGTGTCGCGAATCCTCGCTGCGGCTTGCCCCCGCTTCTTACCGGAGGTAAGAGATTCGCGCATGATAAATTGTTGCCGTCGCATCGAAAGTTCAACATTCTTATTCCCTATAGCCAGAAAACTTTGAAAGCCGCCGCCCCCGTCCCGCGCCGTTCGTGTTTCGTTACACGTCGTTGATCACGATGAGCGATCGTTCGTGCGCGGATCGGCGGGGGCGGGCGGCGAGACGGCCGTCTCTCTCGCGTGCTGCGTGTCTTACGAAAATATTTATGGAGCGATATCGGACAGAGAGAAGGTCGGTATTGCCAGCAGGATCGACGAAGAAGAAATACCGGCGAGAATGTTTCCAGCGCGGCGAATATCGCGCGCGAGCGCGCTTGCGCGCTTTTATTAAAAGCGCTTCTCGTCGCTTCGCACGGGATTCTCGTAATTAAAATATTCGGCCGGTCTTCTCTTCTCGCCGCGGGCACTCGACGGTAATTACCGCGCTTTATTCGTCGCGTCTCTCGCGCCTTTATATATATATATATATATATGTATCCACGTGTGACTCTTTCGCGCGAAATTGTGAGTCTCTGCCCTCTCCCCTCTTTCTTCTTTCCTTCTCCTTCTGTTTCCCCGTGCAAACGCGGATCTAGAAAACTGTCACTCGCGCGGTTATTAACTTTGTTCGCGGCGCGCCGGTTGAAGGATATTCCGAGAGCGTAACCGCGTCGAATATTCCGCGTCGACAGCTGACAATGGTTCGTTCAACCGCGATACCGTCCTCGTTATTCACGCATCATTTGTCTCGTATCCGTGCAGGTCCCCATTATACGGTGGCCGATATTCCGTTAGAAACGCGCATCGGAGGCGACGCCTCCGTGTATAGGGACCATGAGCCGTGCGAAAGAGGAGCTCGCAAAAAAACGAGAGAGGCGAAAGAGGGTTCTTGCGAAATTCTCCGCCTCGCGAAATGGCCGCGTCGAAATAGCGATACCTCGCAACGGCGTAATAAATCTCGCGGTGCAAAGCGGAGCGGGATTTTTTCGCCCGGAGGTGCGCATACAAGATTAATCAAAGGATATCTAAACGTTGCGTCGTAAAATAATTACGGGGAAAAAAGTTGCATATAATTTTTCCCGCTCGGCGGCAATTTTCTCGTCGGTAAAACGACGCACGGGATGCGCGATCACAAAATCGCGGGCGATAACTATATTTCTGACAAAACGAGTCGAGTGTGATTCGTTGTAGGAACGTGCAAATCGCGCAAAGAAGCGTCTATTTGATACAATAATTATAATTGTCCAAGGTGTGATCGTGCTCGTCACGGAATGGAAAAGAAAAAATAGCAGAGAGAGAGAGAGAGAGAGATAGATAGATAGATGCAATTGAATCGCGATCGGCAGTTACAACGAACTCGACACTCACCAATCAGAGGACACTCGCTCTCTAATTACACTTGATTGACTTCCGACGATGATCGAACTCGACAGATTCCACGACCACTGCGGGGCGCTGGGAAGGGGGGAGGGGGGAACGGAGGTGCACACAGCGAATTTAACGAGGATTTATTATCATCTTGCCAGTTCTCGCAGGCTCGCATTTAATCCCGAATTCGCGTTCTCTCGAGACGAGTCTAAACCATTTAACAGCAACTTCCGATGGATCTCCTCGTTTGCCTTTAAAGCCGCGCTTGCCTCGTAAGCTCGAGGCTGGCTTCCAATTTGCCTGACCCGGCTGGCGCAGGGTCAGGCAGCGCATTCGGACAAACAACACCAACAAACAAGCCAAAGGATCACGCCCGGACGGTTCCCGTGCCTGTTTACGTAGTCCCGTGTGAATTGCTACTTTGCATACCGGGTGGCCGGGTGGCGGTAAGGATAACACGACGACGACGACGACGACGACATCGACTTCGACGGGAACGTCGAACTGATCAGCCGCTGTCCCGCAGAGACGTCTCCTATTCACGACGCTTCGATACAATTGATCCCGGGCTGAACGTCAGGCGCGCTAATTGCGACGTCATGTCGCAGAGATTAAAGCGGCCGATTGTCGGGTTAGGATCAGCGCGATTTTCGTCATTCGGAAAAACTGCTCGGCGTCACCGGCGTTCCGCGAGAGATGTCAGGAGAAAATTAACATGGCCCGAAGGCCCGAAGTGGCTGACGGGGAACGCCAATTAAGGTTTCATAGCTCCGCGTTGTAGCTCGCTCGATCCTCTTAATTGGGCGACTATTGTGTGCGCGATTGTTTCTACAAATGAGACTCGACGTCGTATTAGTAGTAGCGGGCAATTACATTAAACTGTCTGAACAGGGCCGGGGGGGGGGGGGCCGAAAAATGAGTATTTCAAAGCGCGAACGAGGCGCACGAGGACTCACGTCTGAGGACTTATTAGTTAATTGCCAGCTGCCTGCCGCGTGAAAAGTCAAGCCGAGTAATCGTGTTTGCATTCTAATTAAGTCTAATTCGCTCGGATAGTGCGAGCTCGTCGTGTGTGTCATGGGCGGGATCGTCCGTGTTGTCTGTGCACTTCGGAATTCTTTAATTACACACGCGACGCTATTTGTTCGCGTTGTGCGAAACGAGAACTATTGTCACGGACAGCGTTTAAATCGCGCGTAAAAGTCACCTTTTGGTTTCTCTCCTTCTCTTTCCCTTTATTTTTCTGCTCCCTCATGTCGGACGTGTTACTCCACGAGGTTGACAAATGTCAATTTTCAGCAAGAGGAAACGCGAAAATCTTGGTAAAACGAGAGCCAATTCGACCGCACCGTAAATCTTCCGAATGGCGGCCGACCGCTCGCTATATTGTAAGGATTTGAAATTCTAACGTCACCGTATTTCACCTCCCTCCCTCGAGTGATCGTTTCTCGACGAGGTAAAACACCGGCGAGAGGAGCTTCCTGTGGAAGCTGGAAAAGCGGCGACGCAAGAAAAGAAAGTCTTCGCGTAATGGCCTTTCTTGAATATGTATAAACTTGCGCTTCGATGAGCTCATCGCGCAAACAGCCGACATTATGGATCTCCCTGCCGCGTGGTCGCCGCATGGAAAAACAAAGACAGCGACTGGTCGGTGACACAAGGACGCACATCCTTTCTGACGCGCCCAAGTCGAAATTTTAATTCTACGTTACTCCTGCAAACTTCTTCGAGCGTGAAGGAACAATGGCGAATCTCAAGCTGCAACGCTTTCGTTTTTCTTTTTTTCTTTTACGTTGCTCAGTCCTGTTTTCCTGATGCATAAAAAAGATATTTTCTTGTCACACAAATTCTACCTGCATTTGTACACACTTGTATCGAAATTAAGAGTAACAAATAAATACAAGTGGAAAATTGAGACAAGTAATTCTCGAGCTCTATCTCGAGCTCGATATCAGAAATATCAGTTTGTGTAATATCACATCTTTAGATTCAACATTAAGATAATTCCTCAAGTTTGACGATATTTGCGGGATGAGCGTAAAACAACGATTTCGATTCGCGGTCGCAATGATCTCCCTCCCTCGCGTCTCACACCTCCGAACTCTAGCCCGAGCATTATCCAGCGAAATTTTTTCCCCAACCCGGTCGAGTCCGTCAGACAGTCTTGTTGTAACAGGAAACTAATGCAAGCTGGTCGGCCGACTTCGCGTTCCAGAGCAAAACGCTCCATCGCGGGGCTATCGGATTCCTAATGATCCGAACTTGGCCTGTTCGTGCGTGTTCGGCTCTTCTCCGTTCACGCGCGCAACTTACCCCCCAGTTCCATCGCGGCTAATGCGCTTTTTTCGCCGTTCTCGTTCTGCGAGCGAGGAGAGAGAAAGAAAGGAGATCCTCTCTCCTTGTTCTCAAGGATCGCGTTTCCAGACAGCTATATCGCGAGTGTCAGCTACCGTCGCTGCCCCTTCGCGTCCCTTGCGACCGCCGCGCCAGCCGGCCGGCTCTATTACTTCTACCTCGGTTGATTCTCAGCCGCTGACTTTTAATCGCCACGTGAATTTACGAGCGAGCTGTAAAAAAGGAGCAGCCCCTGCATTGTGTCTCGACGCATAACCGACGCATAACCTCGCCGTAGGACTTTGCGGACCGCATTTCTTTGCCTTTTTAGCCCGCGCGGTATTCCTCGGCGCTTCACTTCGACGTTAGAACGGAATGAAACAGCCATTCGGAATTCCCCGGGGCTCTTCCGGCGGCACGATTCCCGCAATACGCGCGGAACCGCGACCGAGGTAACTCCGGCGATTCACACGCGAACTTTCTTCCCTCGGCAAACACGGGAGCACCGGCCGTTTCGTCCGCTCGTCTCGATCCGTACGCGCGCAAACGACGACGTTAGCACCGTGCGTAAAAAAAGCCGCGACGCGAGTCCTCCGGAACGC